ATTATTGATTTCTTGTTGTGAAAATACTTTTATGTGGTGAGCTGCATTTTCTAGGCCTTGAACTCAGTAATATTAACATAATGGCTGCTATATTTTTACTTTTGTTTATTCATTATGTTCCTGTTAGCTCTATTTCTTAAAGAATATAAATGTGTGTGTGTGTGTGTGTGTGTGTGTGTGAGAGAGAGAGAGAGAGAGAGATTGATTTTGAGTATGGGTGAAAGGGAGTGCCCGCCCTGATTATGCTCATCTAGATGTGGAATTTTAGGCATTGGGAAAGGTGAAAAGAATTAGGAAGGACTGGGAAGAAAATCCTATCTATTTCTCTTTTTCTTTTTCTTTTTTTTTTCTGTCAATCTTGGAGCCTGAACGCCAGGCCTGGGTGCTGTCCCTCAGCTCTTCAGCTCAAGGCTAGCACTCTACCACTTGAGCCACAGCACCACTTTCAGCTTTTTCTGCTGATGTGCTGAGGAATCAAACCCAGGGCCTCATACATGCAAGGTAATACTCTACCACTAAGCCACCATCCCAGCCCTAGAATTTTATTTTATTTATATATGTCATTGTAGATTTTTATACAATTACCAATATGTACTTTTCCTTGTTTTTCTTTTTTGGTTTGCAACCAAGATTCAAATGGTATTCAACCTTAGTACCTGATGCTTTTGTTTATTGGCTAGTACTCTACTAACTGAGCCACACCTCCAACTCCTACTTTTTAGTCCTGAAAACAGAAAAAAAAATTTTTACTTAGCCGGGCACCAGTGGCTGAGGATCTCGGTTCAAAGCCAGCCCGGGCAGGAAAGTGTGTAAGACTCTTCTCTCCAATAAGCCACTAGAAAACCGGAAGTGGCGCTGTGGCTCAAGCGGTAACAGGGACAGCGCCCAAGCTCAGAGTTCAAGCCCCTCGACTGGGGGAAAAAAAAAAAAATTTACTGCCATCAAGTAGTTGTACAATAATTTGTAATCAGTACGTGAACGTTGCAAGAAAAAAATATCCAAAGTATTAACCATGCCTTTCACTATCTAAAGAGTTAAATCTTAACCTGGCACTCATGGCTCTTGGCTATTCAGGAGGCTATGATTTGAGGATCAAGGTTTGAAGCCAGCCCAGGCAGGAAAGTCCACAAGACTCTTATCTCAATTAATAACCAAAAAACCCAGAAGTAGAACTGTGGCTCAAGTGTCAGAGTGATAGCCTTGAACAAGAAAGCACAGGCACCAAATTAGAAAGAAAAAAAGTTAAATCGTGTAGTATTGAAATGATTGTGGGATGGAGAATAAGTTTTTTAAATGAAATATATATACATACATTTTTTTTTTAAAGAAGCTCTTTGCATGCATGAGGCCCTGGGTTCGATTCCTTAGCACCACATAAGCAAAAAAAAAAAAAAAAGCCGGGAATGTGGCTTAGTGGTAGAGTGCTTGCCTAGAATGCATGTAGCCCTGGGCTCAATTCCTTAGTACCACATAAACAGGAAAAGCTAGAAGTAGCACTGTGGCTCAAATGGTAGAGTGCTAGCCTTGAGCACAGAAGCTCAGAGACAACACCTAGGCCCTGAGTTCAAGCCCTAGGACTGGCAAAAAGAAAAAAGAAAAGAAAAAGGAGCTCTTTTATACAGCTGAAGTCAGTTTGTTTGGAGCATAAAATTATGTCATCTATTATTTGTTTGTTCCAAAAGATTTTGTATTTGAGCTGGGTGCTAGTGGCTCATGATTGTAATCCTAGCTACTTAGAGACTAAAATCTGAGAATCATGGTTCAAAGCCAGCCTGGGCAGAAAAGGCCCCATGAGACTCATATCTCCAGTTATTGTGTACTGTGGCTCACTTGGTAGAGTGCTAGCCTTGAACACAGAGAGGCTCAGGGACAGCGCCTAGGCCCTGAGTTCAAGTCCCACAACTGACAAAAACAAAACTGCTCAAAAACCGGAAGTAGAGCTGTGGTTCAAAGTGGTAGAGGGCTAGCCGTGAACAAAAGAGTTTAGGGACAGTGCCCACACTCTGAGTTCAAGCCCATGACCAACCAAGAAAAAAATAAGATTTCATATTTGGCTTTTATTTAGCCAATCCCGGGGCTTGAAATCAGGGCAAGGGAGTGTCCTTGAGCTTCTTTTACTCAAGGCTAGTGCTCTGCCACTTGAGCCACAGTGCCACTTAGGCTTCTTCTGTTTATATGTTACTGAGGAATCGAACCCAGGCAGGACTTCATGCATGCTAAGCAAGCACTCTACTACTAAGCCAAATTCCCAGGCCTAGTAGTATACTTTTTTAAAAAATACAGGTTTTTTTAAAGTAAAATTTGCATGCAGTAATTTACATGCACAGATCTATAATTGCATGTGTTATGATAAAGATATACACCAGCATGACCTAAACCTCAATCAAAACACAGAATATTTACCAGGAATTTCCCTCACACTCTTTCTAAGTTAGTCCCCACCTCCATAGGCAGCCATTCTTTAAGTTTCTACATCATTTTGCCTGTCATATACTATATGTGAATTATACAGTATTCACCCACCTCTCCTTCCTTCCTTCCTTTCTTTCTTCCTTCCTCCCTCTCCTTCTTTCTTTCCTTCCATCCTTCCTTTCTCTCTCCTTCCCTCCTTCCTTCTTCCCTTGCTAAGATGGGATTTTTGCTATGTAGGGCTTGCCTCAAACTCAAGATCCTTCTTTAGCTTCCAGAATGCTAAGATTTTACAGGCATTTACAACCATACTTCCTTTTCTATCTGTCTTGTTTTCTATATATACAATAAAAGTCTAGTTTTAGATATTTTTAAAATTATTTAGTCATTTCAGGTTTTTCAGAAGGGTCAAGTTTCACATTATAAAGGAAAAAGAAACAATAGAGTTTACTTTCTCCTCATTTGCCACTTGAATAATAATAGATCAGTTCATGAGCTACTCAGCTCTGGCTGGCTACGAGCTTGTGAACCTCCTGCCTCAGCGCTCCGTAGTGCTGGGATTGCAATCATGTGTCGCCATGCCTGGCATGTGGAAGGTAAAAAGTACTATATATTAAGCAGAATTTTCAGAATCAGATCACTTTGAAATCCTAATTTAATTTCAGAAAATAAAATACATACCTAGGTTGTAGCAAAAACCTACATGTTTCCATTCATTGTTAGTCTTACTCCATTTTCCTCTCTGGATTTCCTGCTTGGCTGACAAATTATGAAGAACATTCTTTTTGCTCTGTTGAGAAGTCCAATTCCAAATGACCTGAAAGAGCTTTCCTTATTGCCTAAACAGTCTGAAAAATGACTGAGACTTTTCTGTTCCCAGAGTCCAGCTTATGCCAGCAAGACTTTGGTTAAATACACTTATTAGAATAGCCCTTCCATCCTTAATTGGTTCCACATAATGAAATACTGTCTTTATTTCTTCATACTTTACAAGTTGACAGAGTGCCAGAATGTCTATTGCGATAAGTTTTAGCAGAATAAACCTGAGCCAGATTGACTCTTAAGTTAAAATTTCTATGATCAAAGGCCACTATAACTGCCAACTTCGCTTCTGAAGTTGAAAGTTCATTGCTTTATTACACTTTTCTCCCCTCCCCCTCCTTCAAATGAAAAGAATACCTTTTTCCTGGATAATTTGATATTTTTCCAGAGAGTTAGTTTATTACTTTAAGAATTTGAAAGCTTGGAAGCATTATTTAGTTAATGATAACTCCATGTTGATAATTATGAAACTTTATATTTCTTAATCATTCATATGAGATTTGATTATATAAAGAATATAAAAGATAGTTTTCTATCCCTGATTTGATTTCCAAGTAATTTCAGCTTTTTTCAGAAATTACTTCAGGGCTGGGAAGATGACTCAGTGGTAGAACGCGTGCCTTGCATGCCTGAGGCCCTGGGTTCGATTCCTCAGCACCACATAAGCAAAAAGAAAAAAGCCAGAAGTGGCGCTGTGGCTCAAGTGGTAGAGCGCTAGCCTTGAGCTGAAGAGCTGAGGGACAGCGGCCAGGCCCAGAGTTCAGGCCCCACAACTGGACCAAAAAAAAAAAACCAAAAAACAGAAATTACTTCAAAGCTAATGAAAACAGATATTTGTTCTAATTTTTTTTTCTGATGCTGAATATTTAACCTAGTGCCTCACACTGCTAAGCACACACTCTACCACTAAGTTGGGGGTTTTTTGTTTTGTTTTTTCAGTTGTGGGACTTGAACTCAGGGCCTAGGTGCTATCCCTGGTCCTCTCTGTACACAAGGCTAGTGTACTATTAAGTGAGCTTCAGGATACATTAATTGGAGACAAGAGTCTCATGGAGACTTTTCTGCCCAGGCTGTCTTCGAACTGTGATCCTCAGATTTCATTAGCTAGGATTATATGCATGAGCCACCAGCTCCCAGTTTTGTTTGTTGGTTTTTTGTTTCTTTGTTGGTAGTGGGGGCTGAACTCTGGGTCTGGACGCTGTCCCTCAGCTCTTCAGCTCAAGGCTAGCGCTCTACTACTTGAGCCACAGTGCCACTTCCAGCTTTTTTTCTGCTTATGTGGTACTGAGGAATTAAACCCAGGGCCTCATACATGCAAGGCAAGCATGTTACCATTGATATACCTTCCCAGCCCCTTGTTATGGTTTTTAAATGTTTATTTCATAAATGTAGCTAACTAAACAAATCTTAGGAGAAAATAAAAAGATAAGAAAGGTCAGGCCAGGCACCAGTGGCAGGAGGCTGAGATCTGAGGATCACGCGGTTCAAAGCCAGCCCAGGCAGGAAAGTCTGTGAGACTCTTATCTCCAATAAACCACTAGAAAACTGGAAGTGGCACTGTGGCTCAAGCGGTAGAGCGCTAGCCTTGAGCTGAAGAGCGCAGGGACAGCACCCAAGCCCAGAGTTCAAGCCCCATGACCAACTAAAAAAAAAGAAAAAAAAAGGAAAGAAAGAAGGGTCTTCTTTGCCTTTCAGAAGTATTTACTGCTTAGGTAAATTTCTGATATTAGGTAACAGTGGCAGTTTTAAACATGAATGGTTTTCAGAATCAAGCTGTTTGGCTCTGGTACAAAGTCTAATATTCTACCCAAGAATTCTAGGAAACTCATAGCCATCTCTTTCTCAAAAGAAAGATGTGACAAGAACTGTCTCTCAGCCCTGCTTCTTTGCCTAGTTTAGACTGGCCCATAAGGTTCTCATTTACACATTGATTTCTTGCCAACTTCATCAGTAAAAGTATAAATTTTACATGTCACAAAAGTTAAATAGACATTAATATGTTTATTGAGGAATGCAAAAAATCATTGCAGAATGAAGCCATGGCTTTCAGAAGATTCCCTATGGGCTGGTAACTCCATAAGAACCACATACTTGCTGGGCGCCTGTGGCTCACGCCTGTAATCCTAGCTACTCAGGAGGCTGAGATCTGAGGATCCCGGTTCAAAGCCAGCCCAAGCAGGAAAGTCCGTGAGACTCATATCTCCAATAAACCACTTGAAAACTGGAAGTGGGGCTGTGGCTTAAGTGGTAGAGCATTCGCCTTGAGCTGAAGAGCTGAGGGACTGCACCCAAGCCCAGAGTTTAAGCCCCACGACCAACCAAAAAAAAAAAAAAGAACCATATACTTAGCTGGTCACTGGTGGCTCACACCTGTAATCCTAGATACTCAGGAAGCTGAGATCTTAGGATGAGTTCAAAGCCAGCCTAAGCAGGAAAGTTTATGAGACTGGTTATTTTCAATTAACCACCAAAAAGCCAAAAGTAGAGCTGTGGCTCAGGTGGCAGATAGAGCATTAGCCTTGAGCTAAAAAGGTCAGGGACAGCATCCAGGCCTTGAGTTCAAGCCCCAGGACTGGCACCAAAAAAAAAAGTAGAAATATACATATACATACAGAGAGAGAGCGCGCGCATGCACACAAGCACAATGCTTAGCAATACTTAGCAAATGCTTGGGTTTTATTTTTATTTTTGGGGGGGTCTGGTCGTGGGGCCTGAACTGTGGGCCTGGGCACTGTTCCTCAGCTCTTCAGCTCAAGGCTAGCACTCTACCACTTGAGCCACAGCGCCATTTCCACCTTTTTTCTTTTTTGCTTATGTGGTGCTGAGGAATTGAACCCAGGGCCTCATGCATGCAAGGCAAGCACTCTACCACTGAGCCAACTTCCCAGCCCTGGGTCAGCTTCTTAATTGCCCATGTGCAGTGAAGATATCTACTATATTGTTGAACTGACCTTGGGTATCTCCATCTAGTATTAAGCTATCTTAAACACTTGGGCATTCTACATATACAGAGCATTATTTTTTGTCATTCCTAGGGGAAGTAACACCAGGACTATCTCAAGTGGAATATGCACTTCGAAGACACAAACTAATGTCTCTGATCCATAAGGAAACCCAAGGACAGAGTGGAACAGACCACACAGTGGTTGTGCTTTCCAGCCCTACATACTACATGAGCAATGATATCCCCTACACTTTCCACCAAGACAACAACTTCCTGTACTTGTGCGGATTCCAAGAGCCTGATAGCATTCTGGTCCTTCAGAGCCTCCCTGGCAAGCAGTTACCATGCCATAAGGCCATGCTTTTTGTTCCTGGGAGAGACCCCAGTCGAGAACTTTGGGATGGTCCACGATCTGGCACAGATGGAACAATAGCCCTAACTGGAGTGGACGAAGCTTACACACGAGAAGAATTTCAACACCTACTGCCAAAACTGAAAGGTAACACATGGGAGCAAGTCAAAGCTTAGGCGAACTTGGGATTTAGACCTTAATTGCCTGGATAGCTTTTGATTTCCTAAAATAATCATAGCAGTTTGTTATTTGTGGTGAAATAAAAACCTGGGAAATCTTATTTCCCATGTGTAGTGAGATTAGCATAAACTGATGATCTTGTATGCCCATATTAAGCTGTGACAGAGAGCTGTCTTTCCTAGAAAACTGAGCTACTTCAAACATTTTACCTATACAATTGCTAAATCTTCACTAAATTTTTCATTCACAGAGACAAGTTAACCATTCTAGCTTGAAACTGGGGGATATTGAAGGAAGGGATGACATTGTCCAAAGTTTACTCATGCCAGGTGCTGGTGATCGTACCTGTACTCTTAGCTACTCAGGAGGCAATCTGAGGATCCATGTTGGAAGCAAGCCCCAGCAGGAATGTCTGAGACACTTATCTCTACTAAACTACAAAAAAAAAAAAAAGACAGAAGTATGGGCTGGGAAGGTGGCTCAGTGGTAGAGCACTTGCCTTGCATGCCTGAGGGCCTGGATTCGATTCCTCAGCACCACATAAGCAAAAAGAAAAAAGCCGGAAGTGGCGCTGTGGCTCAAGTGGTAGAGCACTAGCCTTGAGCTGAAGAGCTGAGGGAC